GAACCAGTGAAGCTGATGAACCAGTGAACCAGTGAAGCTGATGAACCAGTGAACCTGATGAACCAGTGAACTGGTGAAGCAGCCATGTTATAAAACAGTATCAACTACACAATATAACCAACTGCACCTAAAATGCACCGATGCAGGTTTGCTTGCTTGGGGACCGTCCTGTTGACAATCACTGAGTTGCAGTGGTGGTTTGTGGTGTGTGCGACATGGGCAACCGCCCAGGACAGCATCATGTGGGGGGCTGCCCCCTCTGCCCCTGCCATCAGCTGGAGGACCTGAAAGTGAACAGTGCCTAATGCAAAGCCCCTCAATCCCCTCCTAATTTTTCATATTTAAAATGCCAATCCTTTTAAATATTGGCTAAATGTTCTTTCAAAATTAGTTGGACACCTTAGGGTTTATTTGCATTGTTAGACCATTTTTATGCTATTAGTTGACAATGGTCTCAAAATGACAGTATTATCATTAATTCCTGGGACCATTAGTCATCCAGCAAACTGTGTCGTGACATGCCTCGCTGGGAGGGCTGGAGCAGTGTTCACAGACTTATGTACAATGCACACACACCTTTTCCAAGGCTATAAACACACACACACCCTCAACTCACTGGCTTTGCTGGCCACTTTTCAGTGAAACATTGGATTGTTTTCAGGTGTGACCTTCCTGCTTTAACATCCTGCTCATGTCGTCTTCAGGTCATCAGTCCGTTCGGCTGGAGGGACATGAGGATCAGTGTGCCGGGCGGGTGGAGGTATGGAAGGACGGGAACTGGGGCACGGTGTGTGACGACAGATGGGACCTGAGAGAAGCCAAGGTGGTTTGCGCCCAGCTGGGCTGTGGGACCGCTCTCAGGGTGACGGGTCAGAATGGATTGTTCCCTCCAGGGAGCGGACCGATTCACCTAGACGAGCTGAACTGCACCGGGAACGAGCAGAACCTGTGGTTCTGTCCGGGTGTCCAGGAAAACTCCGACTGCGGACACAAAGAGGACGCTGGTGTGGTGTGTTCAGGTCAGTCTCCATCAAACATCTGGTCTGTTGGACATGAACTGTCCAAGCTGACGTCTGTCTCTGCCAGTGTCCACATTTGGACACAAACTCGTCTTGTGGATGATTTTTAAGTTGAGCTTTTTGTAGAGCCCTGCTTAGGTTACGTTCACACTGCAGGCTGAAGCGACCCACATCTGGTTTTTTATCTGAATGCGACCTGCTCCTGATCTTTTCATGACTGATCAGATCTTCTCCAATGTGATACAGGCCAAGTGGATATGTGGTTCTGAATCCGATGCGTATCGGATCTTTTCAAATGTAACCCGTCTGTTCGGGCAGGTCGCATTCATCCAACCCGAACGTCTTTGATACTCGACAAACGTCGCTATTCTGCGTCCAGTGTGGCGGACCGCAATGAGGATCGAGTTGTTGATGTGCTGCTCCAGTCGGACTGTAAGATACGCTCCACCGTTGGCATCTGTGTTTACTTCCACAAACACTGAGCTCTTCTTTTTTTATGGCGGTTGGCTAAACGCTGCGCTTCCTCTCTACGAGTGACGTTATTGCGCCCTCTACTGTGCATGCGGGACGCTTTCAGGTCGTTTGCAGCTCACTGGAGATCACATACAAATCGCCTTTCTTTGGAAGAGTGAACGGCCACGAAGAAAATCAGATTGAACATTAAGGCCTGCAGGGAGAACGTAGCCTTATTTCAGTTTCTGTTTCTTTAAAGTAATAAAGAATCTGAACTTTGAAGAAAATCCTTGAACTTAAATCTGAATGTTACAGATTAACTTGAAACTTTTCTCTGCCTGTTTTTCCTGCAGTATCTAAGACGTCCTTCAGAGTCACCACAGCAGGTGTGACTGAGCTGATGAGCACGGGGTTAAATTTTTAAGAATATCAGCTGTATCTGAGTCTCTGAATATACCTGATGTCTGTCCGTTGCTCCCAGCTCCTCCTGCAGGCGCCTCTTCTCCAGAACATCTCTGCATCATATCTCTGTCTATTGCGGTGCTTGCTCTTGCCATCCTGAATTTGGTTCTCTGCTGCCTTTTCTGTCACGGCCACGGTAGGTCCTCGTCTCCTCACCTGGTAAACATCTGTAGGGAAAAAGACCTGCACTAACTCAGCAGTAAGGTTGGTTCTGACCTTGTTTGCAAAGATGCGGGCGGTGAGGCCAGCAGAGCCGTTGGTCTGAAGAAGATGGTGATCTGTGGTCAACGAAGTGGAAACACAGATGCCTGAAGAAGCATCGATTCTAAAATGCTGATTTATAGATCACAAGTAATGTGGAATAAATATGAATCATAAAGTTTAACAATGAATAAAAATGTCAAAACAAAAATAAACCACTTCTCACTTCATATTTATTCTAAATATAATTATAATATCTAAAATATAGTAAAAACTGTATTGTGTTGTGTGTCATCAGCAATGATGCCATAATGATCTGGTCCAGGTGAGGAGCAGAGTTCATGTAAAGGTCAGCGGAGAGATGACGTCACATGACCAGCAGCAGATCCACGTCATGCTAACATTTCTCTCTGCTGTCGCTACATGATGATGATAAATCGGGGAGGGTAAAGTGAGCATCTGGAGCTTTGACTCCTTCACTTCTGGTCTGCAGACAGTAGAACTGCAATGCTTCGGTCTGAATTCCTCGTTTCTCCTGTTCT